AGTGACAGGTAAGAGTCCAGCCACAATGGAGGGAGCACATCTGACTTCGTGAACGTGTGAACAGAAGGCAGGGAGATCAACGAAACAATGAATCCCTATAAAAAGTGTGTGTTTTTAAGGATTTAAATGGCCACTGAATAAAATTACTTGAAAAGAGAAGTCTTTTTTTTCCTGAGCATTTTCTCAACCTGAGACCTATGAAAGACTTGTGAAAGTGAAGGCAAAATGTACAAGACATGTGATTGGAATATAGAGATACTAGATACAAAACAAATTAGGATGAAGCCTGAAAACGTAAAGCTGCTAGCCCAAACCCAAAAAGATGCAAACGCTGAGATTCTTCTTCAGTTAAACCTATTTTATTAGTATATTAATGTTATTAGTAATAACTGCAGCCACCACATATTGAGTACCTACTAAATGCCAGGCACTTTGCAAGATCTGGTGCACACATTCTTTTTCTTGTCACAATGGCCACATACTCCCATTTTACTGATAATGAGGTTGAGGTTTAGAGAAGATCTATCTAGCACCAAAGGCCAAGTTATTTTTGTTTCACACACTGTATTTCCATTAAAACAAATTCCTTTTTTATTAAAAAACAAAACCAAAAACCAGAAAGTACCTACCTGTTCTGAGGTCGATAAGGGGAGGGGCAAGGACCCTAGTTCCTTCAGTAATTCATTTGTTTCCTTGGCAAGCTGATTTGTCGAGTGTTGCAACTGCTGCCTAAGAGAGAAAAGACAGGTTTCAGAATCTTCTCACTTCTTGCGAGCTGCTATAGTTAGTATCAGCTTATCCTCCGGGTGTCTCACAATGCAGAGAATAAAAGGGTACACGAAGAAATAGGTTCCTAGATGCCTGCGTTCACAACAAAATTCCAGAACTACTACCCAGTCAAACCCATGTCAAGGCTTCCTCCTATTACCGAGTAGAAAGAACGTGTCTCAGTGAAATCTGATGATCAGGTATTTTACTCTTTGGGGAGAAAAGAAAAGCATATAGCAGTTGTGACAGAAATGTAAGAGGAGCCACTGCCCCACAGCTAAATCTAATAGTTTTAACACAAAACTCTCTCAATGAGTTGTCCAGGAGTTCGCACGGCTATTGTCACAGTCCACTGCCTAGAGACAGAGTCCTGGCAGCTGGGTGAAATGTGCATTAAAAGCACAGCTCCTACCCTAGGGAGCCAGCTCCCAAGATCTACTCCCAAGTTCTTGCTAAAAGTTGATGCTCCTTCAGCTTTAGCTTTGACTCCCTCCCAGTCCTTTATGCTTGACTTTCTGCTGCTTCCCTCTAAAACAAAAAGCCCTATAGTGTGAAAACATATATCAGGAGTAGAGAGGGAAGGACATTAAAGAGGCAAGGATATATAATATATTAGGTGGAAGTGAAAAGTAGTGGAAATAGCCCGGCCGGTGTGACTCAGTGGTTGAGCGTCAACTTATGAACTAGGACAGTGGTCGGCAAACTGCGGCTCGCGAGCCACATGCGGCTCTTTGGCCCCTTGAGTGTGGCTCTTCCACAAAATACCACGTACAGTGCGATTGAAACTTCGTGGCCCATGCGCAGAAGTCGGTCATGGCACATGCCTGGGTTGCAGGCTAGATCCCCAGTAGGGGATGTGCATGAGGCAGCCGATCAATGATTCTCTCTCAGCACTGATGTTTCTCTCTCTCTCTCCCTCTCCCTTCATCTCTGAAATCAATAAAAATATATTTTAAGAAAAAAGAAATGTAGTGGAAATACAAAAAGAGCTCCTCTCAGTCATGATTTCCTCCATCTGGCCATTTCTACAAAGGTTTTCAGGAGGACAGAGAAACCACACTATTAATTATTAATGGTGTTTTTTTCACTGCAAAGGGGTCTCCAAGATAAAAAACAAGAGAGTCAAAAACAAGAGGGAGTCCACAGGAGCCTGAACATCCCAGACAGGACGAACATATCCAGAGATATTCACATCTCCCTGGAAAACGCTCAATGTAGTAAGTTATTCTCTCATTTCACAAAGTCTAGGACAGGAAATAAAGAACACTATTCAATATCTTTTAAAGACCAAGAAGAGAACTTCGAAAAACAGAAATGTACTCAGAAGGATATGATCAAAAGAATCAGCCCTAGCTGGTTTGGCTCAGTGGATAGAGCCTCGGCCTGCGGACTGAAGGGTCCCAGGTTCGATTCCAGTCAAGGGCACGTGCTCAGGTTGTGGGCTCAGTCTCCAGTAGGGGATAGCTGATCAATGATTCTCTCTCCTCATTGATGTTTCTATCTCTCCCTCTCCCTTTCTCTCTGAAATCAATAAAAATACAAAAAAATTTTAAAAAAAGAATCACATGTGCCTACTACCAGTCTACTATTCTCTGACTCCCCCGGAATCATTCTGAATACATCTTCCTAATAATGTATAGAGTTGGGAAATCCAACTACATGAAATGAGCTCTGCAGATCATCAGGCCTCTGCCAACAGGGAGGCTCATTTAGGCAAAATATAGTTCAAGAGAAGCAGGGTTCCCTTCTTTATTTCCCTAAGTTGTTCTGCTAAACTGCCCAAGGGAAGAAAGAACCAGAGATCAAGGGCTTTAAGAGGCAGGAAGATCACAATCCATTGATTTATTCTGTTGCCCCTCTTCTAGATCCACCTATTACCTCATGTCCCACTGCCTCTCATTCTGACTTCACAGGCCTGACACCTAAGCAGCCCCGCAGCAATGACTTTATGTGTGTCCTTGAAGGACCCTCACAAAACCCAGCCTTGTTAGGAAGCTACTCACAGATTTTCCTGTAGCTTGGCGGAGTCCTGCTTAGTTTCTAGTTGGCTCATCAAATTCTTTAGCTGAACAGCTGCAGAGAAGGGGGAGAAAGACTTGTTTAAAGAAAAATAGATTCATCATGAGCACCCTACAGCTAAGATCACCAGTTTCTTTCTATATCCTGAACAAGTATATGCAACTAATAGAAAGCTTGCTATGATCAAAACCTTGGCATATACATATACATTCCCTTTAAAACTAAATTCCTGCCAGCCAGCATGGCTCGGTGGTTGAGCATTGACCTATGAACCAGGAAGTCACGGTTCAATTCCTGGTCAGGGCACATTGGTCAGGGCACATGCTGGGCTGCGACTTGATCCCCAGTAAGGGATGTGCATGAGGCAGCCGATCAGTAATTCTCTCTCATTGATGTTTCTCTCCCTTTCTCCCTCTCCCTTTCTCTCTGAAATCAAAATATATATATTTTTTAAAAACAAATTTCGGGGTTCACCTTTGTCCTATAGAGTAACTACATCTCTAAGTAGAGGGTGATGGTTTTGTTCATCACCTCCAAAGAACTTCTGAATTTTTCCAAATACTGGATAAAAATGAAGTAACTGCCGAAACCGGTTTGGCTCAGTGGATGGAGCGTCGGCCTGCGGACTCAGGGGTCCCGGGTTCGATTCCGGTCAAGGGCATGTACCTGGGTTGCGGGCACATCCCCCGTGGGGGATGTGCAGGAGGCAGCTGATCGATGTTTCTCTCTCATCGATGTTTCTAGCTCTCTATCTCTCTCCCTTCCTCTCTGTAAAAAATCAATAAAATATATTTTTTAAAAAATGAAGTAACTATTTATGTATTTATTTATTTATTTATTTATTTATTTTTATTGAGTTCAGAGGGGAAGGGAGAGGGAAAGAGAAATTGAAACATCAATGATGAGAGAGAATCTTTTGATGAGCTGCCACCCACACATCCCCTACTGGGGATCGAGCCCTCGACCCGGACATGTGCCCTTGGACCTGAATTGAACCAAGAAACCCTTCCAGTCCCCAGGTTGATGCTCTATCCACTGAGCCAAACAGGCCAGAGTGGTAATCACCTTTAGAAGGGCCTTAATACCAAATATCAATTCACAATAAAAACTACAATCCACTAGTACACAATAATTTTTTATAGAAAACACTTTTTATAGCAAAGACAATGTATATTTTAAAAAAATATTTTTAAAATTGATTTCAGAGAGAGGAAGGGAGAGAGCTAGAAACATCGATGCGAGAAAATCATCCATCGGCCACCTCCTGCATGCCCCATACTGGGGACTGAACCTGCAACCCATGCATGTGTCCTGACCGGAAATATGCTCAACCACTGAGCCACACTGGCTGGGCAATGTATATTTATTATTAATAAAAAGTTACCACTGACTGAGCACCTCTGTGTGCCAGGCACTATATCAGGAGCTTTGTATACATTATCTTATTTTCACAGCAAAAAATCTGAAGCAGATATATCTTCATTTTGCAGGGGAGGAAATATATTTAAAGAAGTATCTTATATAAGGGTACACAATAAGTAGAAGGGCAAAAAAGTCAACCTCAGTTATATACCTGTGTTCTTTCAACTATGCTAACTATAGTCTAATACATGGTTTTGTTAGATAATTCTACCTTTTCCTAGATATTTTGCTAAGACTAAGGAATGATCATGTTTGAATCCTGGATGTTTAAGCCTCTAGCCCTGATCCAGCAGTGATCCAAAGGAATTGATTATCTAGCAGTAAGAAGGAACACTTTTAAAAAAATATATTTTATTGATTTTAGAGAGGAAGGGAGAGGAAGAGAGCAATAGAAACATCAATGATGAGAGAATCATTGATTGGCTGCCTCCCGCACACCCCCTACTGGGGATCGAGCCTGCAATCCAGGCATGTGCCCTCGGCCAGAATCGAACCTGGGACCCTTCAGTCTGCAGGCTGACGCTCTATCCATTGAGCCAAACCAGCTAGGGCAAGAAGGAACACTCTTAACAACAGCCTGCCTGGGAATCTGAACACCCCCACCCGTCCTCATTGATTTCTGCAACGGGAATAGAGCCCTCAATTTCTTTTGTGTCCTGCTACCATGTCCTTTTTTATGCTGTGGAAGTTCTAAGTTCATTGAGCATCCTTATAACCAGTGTTTTGAACTCTGAATCTAGTAGATTGCCTGTCTCCATTTCTTTTTCCTCTGGAGTTTTGTTCTGTTCTTTCATTTGGGACATATTTCTTTGTCTCCTCATTTTGGCAGCCTCCCGGTGCTTGCTTCCATGTATTAAGTAGAGCTGCTACGTCTCTGGGGCTTGATAGAGTGGCCTAATGTAACAAGTGTTGTGTAGGATCTAGTGCCACAGCCTCCCTGATCACCCAAGCTGGGCACTCCAGGCGCTCCTCCTCCACCCCATGTGGGCTGTGTACACCCTCCTATTGTAGTTGAGCTTTGATTGCTGTTGGCACATCGATGGGAGGGGTTTACCCCCAGGCCAGTAGGCTGCAAGGATTGGCTGCAACCACCGACTACCAATCCCTGATCACCGTGCAGGATCAGCTGTGCAGGGACCACCCCATGGAGCAGGACTTATTTCAGCGGGGCTTTGGTGCCCACTGAGTACACCCCTTGAGTGTGTCACTTGAGGTGGTTGGGTGGTGCTTCGAAATGGTCTGAAGCTGTCCACTGGGTGTGCTGGGCCTCCTGAAGGTACAGGCCAAGGTCAGTGCCACCTACTTTCTGCCTAGGGCAGTGGTTCTCAACCTTGGCTGCACATTAGAATCACCTGGGAATCTTTAAAATCCTGATTTCTGGGCCTCATCCTCCGTAAATTCTGTTTCTTTGTTATGGGATGGGGCTACAACATTAGTAATATTAGGGCCTAGGGTGACCCAGCATGAGCTACAAAGTGATCTGCAGATGGCTGCTACCTGTTCTGGGCTTAGAGGTGCCCAGGTGAGGTCAAGCTGTGAATCAAGGCCAGCTGCTGCTAGTGCTCGGTGTGGGGGGGCCACTTTTCATGAAGTATGAGGCACAACGAGACCATGTGCTGCTCTTTTGAGAGATTTTAGGAAAGTCAAAGCATGAGCCAAGACAAGCCATTCCTATTAAAAAAAAAAAAAAGCCACTAGAAACAGCTTGGGTGGGCCCCACAGGTTGGGTTGGGCAGGCTCTCTAGAATCACTAGGGTGGGGCAAACAGTGTGAGCCTGGTGGATGCAGACTTAGATATGGTGCCTGCCTGCCAGCTCTGGGGGGCACAGGGGTCTCAGAAAAGGAACAATGGCCTCTGCCAGCACTTTTGTGTGACAGAAAGCCACCCCACCCCAGCTTTTACCCTGATAACAAACGATTCAGTTCCTCCCCTCATGTCCCAGCTGCCTTTCAAGCTGCTTGCCTCTGGAGCTGGAACACAGAGGGAGTAAATCAGAGTAAGTCCATGTGTGGGCCCTTTAAGAGGAACTGCCCTGGGCTCCAGCAGCCTTCTGTCTCACTCAGCCATAATCCCCGCTGATTTTTACAGCCAGACGTTATAGGGATTTCTCTTCCTGGCACTGGAACCCTGGGATCAGGGGCTGGTGTGAGGCTGGGATCCCTCACTCCTCAGAGGGACCTCTGCAGCCAAAATATCCCTCCTGATTATTACCCACCACACGTGTGGGACCAACCCATTCTGCGTCTCTGCCCCTCCTACCGGTCTCAATGTGGCTTCTTTAAATCCCTAGTTGTAGGACTTCCATTCAGCTAGATTTCAGGTGTTCTGAATAGTGGTTCTTGTGTAGTTTAGTTGTAATTTTGATGTGGTTGTGGAAGGAGGAGAGGATCACATTTACCTACAGTCATCTTGCTGGGAAGTCTCCTATCTATTGTCTTTTTGCATCTACAGTACCATACCTTTGGGATGTCAAAGTTATCTTTTCCAGACCCCTCAGGACACAGCCATCACACCAGATCACCAGAACATGAGGCCACAGAACCCCTCCTTGTTATCTTATTGTCTACACACCATCTTTGTGTTGTAATTGATAACTATCGTGTACCTACCAATGTAAAAGAAGTATGTGTCTCTTTGTTTTACTTTTTATCCAATTTCAGAGATTTCCCTGCTTTGCTTTCTCCCACATCTCTAATCTACCAACAATGGACTTCATGTAACCCCACCCCACCCCCCACCTGCAAGTCTCCTTTGATTCTAATGTATAAAATAAGCTGTAAGCCCCTGAGGCACCTGTTATTAATTAGTGACTTCTGCCAAAATATTCAGTTTAAATATAGAGAAATATGGTTTACCTAGAACATTGAAAATTAAACATTTAGAGCCTCTAGGGGCATTCTTAAAAATAATAATGAGCTGTAAAGCTGCCATTACCTGGAGCATTTTCTCAATTCATTGAGATTTTGCTTCCTGGCAATTGTCATCAGTTTGGCTCAAGTAAACTCTTCTACATGACTTTTTCTCAAGCTGGACTTTCTTTTGTGGACAGTCTCTAACTCTGATAAGAAACAATGATTAAGCAAAATCTTCTAAATGATTGCTGGGTGACTCTACTCCTAAGTGGCAACTGAACAACCTAGTCCTTAGCAATATCACAAGTTACTTCTCCCTAGCCAAAACAATCACTACTATATCATGGATGTGTGAATCCAAAATTTCTAAACTCAAGAACATATAGGTTTATACCACTTTTTCCCCACTTTTTTAAAATCCTCACTTGAGGATATTTTTCCATTGATTTTTAGAGAGAGTAGAAGGGATGGAGGAGAGGGAGAGAGAGAGAAATATCAACATGAAAGAGACACATCCATTGGCTGCCTCCCACATGTACCCTGACTCAGGCTGGGAATCCAACCAATGATCTTTCAGTCAATGGGCTGATGCTCTAACCACTGAGAAAAACTGGCTAGGGCAGGTTTACAGCACTTTTAGTGATGATTTTATCTTATTTTGAGACCATGTTTTTCTAGCAAAAATGTAACTAACTTTATAATGGAAATATAGGATTTACTTGATTATAGGAAGACGTAATCACTATAATCACTGCATTCTGCTAAGATAGCATTATATG